AATCACCCATTTCGACGAGTTCAGACGTTTGCCCGTGCTGAGGCGGAAATAAAACGCTGAAATCAAGGCTAACAATTACTCCGTGCCGAAAATGCGTATGCCGAATCCGCATCATTTTGCTATAGACATCGAATCGTTTATCAACTTAGGCAACCAGAGAACTTGCGTCTGCCCCTCAAAAAGGCAACACGTCTACCCTACTCCTTCCCCCAAACCGGTTAATCATACACGACTCTTGAGGTTCAGTCAACCCTTACGCTCAAGTTTTCCACTGCTGCCTTAAACGGAGCATTTTGAGACAGAATAATGGTGGAATACTTCCCTTGGACATTCGTTAAAATTCCAGAAAAGGCAATAACACCTGATGTTACCTTTCACATCTGATTAACGCTTTAGCGTTGCACAATGGCCTTTGATCAACGTGCATGGACCGACTAAAATTTCCACTCCACTGCAGTTAAAATTCGGCTTTGAAGAAGTATGTTGACAAATTTTAATCCGGTGAAAAATAACAGCAATTCACTTAGCAATTCAGTTTGTGAGTGTCATGTCTGTTAACCCCGAACCCAACTCCCAATGCAGCAAAGTTCCTACAGCACGAGAGATTGATTTTAACCTGCTAGAGATAACAAGAAAGGAGGTAGGTTTATTTAGTACAAAGGCGAAGAAGGGGGACAAAAGCTTCGTACAAAACTTTTTGTGCTGTTACAAGCTCATAAAATAGTACTTTTTTAGGGGCCGAAAAGGAGAAAGAAATGAATCGAGCGCAAATACCTGAGAAAACTTCCACCACTGACACAATCAATTCCAGTCCATACAAGGCCAAGTGGAAGTAGAATTTTCAGCCGAAGGATAATAGGTATAAAGGCAATGGCAGAAAGGAAATTTTTGCAGGATTCGTTTCAATATCTACCACCTGATTAAGCTATGAGGGTGAATATCGAAGGCATGACTTCTTACAAAAGTCAAAAATATAATGACGAAAGTTGAAATCAAATAAACAGATACCGAAAATTGAGGTAAGATGGATGGCTGCCTACAAATATGAAGGCACGGAAGGAAGCTAGGCACGTAAGTAAGACGGTCCGCCGAATGGCACATTGGTGTGGTGATTTGCATAAGCCAACAATCGAACATCTACAATCGGAGTTTTCACCACTGATAATTGACATGTTCAATGCCAATAAGCTACTGTTATAGCGGAGTAAAATATACTTAATTTTCTCAATAAGACAACACCCTTGGCTCATGAACCGTTTCTGTTTTCCACCGGGAGCATCTCTTCATGTTCGATGCCCTCATCAGTCATTGACTCAAGTGGAGTTGATATGTCCTTTCTTCTCTCAATCGCGGCCATAATTTCTGGAGCTGGAATTAGAGTCGGCATTTCTGGTTTCAATCCATTCGCATCTTTCTCTAATCCATTCAATTCAGACAAGTTCTCCCAATTTGGATGGATTCCTTCGGCCTCGATGTCAGCCACATTTGAATTAGCCCTCGAAAGTGCTGGAACATCGACACTTTGATAAGCCGTAAAAGGATCATCTCCAGACACTATCGTACTGTCGGCCACGGAAGTAATGCTCCTGGTTACCGATTTTGCCGTTTCT